ATAAATCCTCCTAGAAGTTGCCTGAGAAGTGTCAACGCAGAAATCCCTGGAGGCTGGACTCCACAAAGGAAGGGCTGAGACCGACTTCATTGAGCCCCTACTTCATGCCAGGCACATTCACAGACAGCGTCTCGCTGATTCCTCAAAACCAGCTGTTCTTAACCTTTTTGGAGGGTCATGACCCCTTTTGAGAATCTGCTGAAAGCTGTGGCTTCATTTCCCTAGATAAAGGCACATCATTTTGCATGCAAGTGCAGCAAGTTCAAGGCCAAGAACTTGCACAAACCTGGGTGCTTTTAAGACTTTCTTGGGCCTCGGGGATGCTCTCTTTTAGAGGCCCCACATTTCATCGTACCCAACATCCTCGAATATGTCAACAACCCACACAAAGTATTATATATACATCCATGCACATGTATCTGCCTTCGAGCCGAGTTGGAATTGCAGCTGACTTTTTGACATAAATGTTACATTTATAGATCTTTAATAAAGCATTCATTTCAATCTTGTGCTTGCTTTTTCTATTTGGGGGCTAATAAACTTTTCTGTAGGTTTTACCACAGTGGCATCATGCATACAGAAAAATACACACATCATGAGCCTTTACAGTGCAAGAGTTCTCTCGCAGTAAACCTTCCAGGGTAACAGCACTCTGATGGAGATAAGGGAGGTACGAGCAGCCCAGAGCCCCCAAAACCCCTTCCCAAGCACTACCATCCTCCCACACCCCATACTGCTCTCCTGACTTCCAACATCAGAGATTTGTTAATCCTTGAACTTGTCATAAAGGAAATTACACAGTTCATGCTCATCTTAGTCTGGACACTTTCCTGAAACCAATTAGCTTTTAATTTGAGACTCGCATTTTCAGAGGCATGTGAGAACCTCAGGGGCACTTGCCGTTGTTAGTTGTTGTCCAGTGGTCTCCGACCCGTGGTGACCTCCCCCTCATAGAGCAGAAGGACGCGCGGCTGGTCGTGTGCCCGCTCTGTGGGGGTTGGGATGTGCCAGCGCCTCGCCGCAGCTCTGGCACTAGCCTGTCTCAGTGAGGCTCTCTCCTTCCCCTACCTTCTACTTTATCAAACGTGATGCACTGTTCTTAGTGACGGCTCTTTCCTGGTGGCATGGGTAGTTGAAGCCTCGTCATCATTGTTCCTAAGGAACCTTCTGGTTTGGGCAGTCCACATTATATCCAGTTTCTCCATCAGCACGCTCGGAACATAGGCTGTGCCTTCTCAGTGGCTCTCAGTATTGTCTAAACCAGGGATTCTCAGCCTTCACAGGAGCATCGCCAGGGGAACTTTGAAAAAGCTTGGTGCCCTGCCTGCACTCTGGCCAATTAAATAGAAGTATCTGGAGGCAGGACCACGCAGGAGGTCTGGAATATTCCCAGGTGATAACAATTGCCACAAGATTGAGAACTGTTGGTCTAAACAATTCCGTGACGCATGACAGATGAGATAACTGGGCCTCCAGGAGTCTGTAATGTACCATCATAAACCTAAAACTCTCTACCTTTGAGTTCAACAACCAGCAACCCTGTGGAGCATAGTTGGACCCTGGAAAACGTGGTTCCCGAGGCGGTGAATCTTTACTGGTGAAGACTACGTCCTTTCTCTAGAGCAGAGCCGCTGGTGGGTCCCAACAGTTAGCAGTTCAGCTCTTAACTCACAGCAGCACCAGGGCTCCTGGTGTCACAAAAGCAAGCTCAACTTCAGCTCTGACTGGGGCTGCGTCTGCATCACCTTTGCTCTGGGAGAAGCTGTGAAAAGTGAAAACCAAGCTCTTTGCAGTGGAGCCTGTTCTGACTCAGTGGCCCTACAGGACGGACTAGAATTGCCTTGTGAGGTTTCCACGGCCATTGTGTTTATAGAATCACATTGTCACATCTGTCAAGGGGTGACACCTCCAGCCAGGTAACTCTAATTACGGCACGTCCTTCCAGGGATGTGGGGAGACTTCTGGAAACAGCACCCCCAGAGCTGGCTGTAGACAGGAAGAGTTGGCACCACTGGAAGTCCCCCTCCTCATGCTTCCAGAAGCCACAGAAAAACCCTCGCCAGTTGGGAGCAGTTGCTAGCTTGGGTGAAGGGGAAGTTTCTTCCAAGTAGCTCTGTCCTGGATGTTTTCGAATTCCAAGTGCAGTGCACTATTCCACCACTCTGCGGCGCCTCGAGCTTCTGTAAACCTGGTTTCACCATAACCTGCTTTAGGCCAGAATGCTGGTGACATTGAGGGAGGAGGAATACTCAGGGCTGACTGGTTGGTTGGCTGGCCCCTTCAGATCAGAGTTGAGGAGACAGCTTACTCAGGCAGGAGTGGAGCTCCCCTTCTCGCTAATCCTGATGGGCCCTGTGTGAGGCTGGCAAGGAGGATACAGGGACATGACTCTAAGCAGAGAGAAGCCACAAATAACCAGGCCTGAAGTGAGGTAAGTTCCTTCCTGCTGCCCGTCACCTTTCACCAGGCTGCCCAGTGCACAAACAACCCACATTCCCATAAAGCCTGTGCTTGGAGGTACCAGCCTTTCCTTGGAGGCTATATACCTGTCAAAATCTTTCCTGCAAACCTGCTAAATGTTAACCCTAAAATGGCAGAAAACTTCAAACTATTGATGAGACTCTAACATCTTCACAATTTTGAGTTAGATTACGTAGGTTCAGAGCCAACCTCTGTCCCGTTTTCGATTCATTTCCATGAGGCTCAAGATTCTTTATAAAATGGAAATTATAATAGCCCACATCATAGAGGATTGCTGTGCAGATTAAATGATGTACTGTGTAAAGCTTTAGGCTAGTGTCTGCTACAGAATAAGTGATAAGGAAATGTTGGCTCATATTATTTGAAAATAGAACGATTAATTGTCTCTCAACCAAGGAGTTCTGGTAGCCTAGTGGGTAAGGAGTTGCGCTACCAACGCAAAGGCATGTGGTCTGAAGTCCACCAGCTTCTCCACAGGACAAAGATGGGCAGTCTCTTCCCATGCAATTTACAACCTTTGAAAACCTAGCTACTTGTCTTCTCGTCCTCCTTGTTGACTGACCTGTGGTCTAGCCCCTACTGGGACTCAAAGCAAAGTCATGAAGTAATTACCCTTGACCTTGCCATCCATCCAACCTGTTTTCTCTGCCCAAGGCTGCAAGTTACCCCCAGAGAGAGTCCCAGAATTGAGGGGCCGGGATGTCTGCTGCCATGCAGACCGTAAGCTCTAGGAAGACAGAGTCATCTTGTTCCCATGACAGGACCTCTGCCACGTAGAGCACAGTGGTCAGCCCAGTCCCACCTCTGTGTGAAGTGGGTGGGTGGGCGGCCAAGCCTCTCTCTGTGAACCTGGACATGGCCACCACCCCATCACTAGGAAAGAAAGCAACACACGATCTCAAGCTGGGCGATCCTTTTATTGGAAAAAGTAGAACAAAAGGCCAGTAGAACAATGTGATCATTGGTGTGCCCAGCCACACCTCTAGGGTATGCAGGGAGCATCCTGGGCTAGATCCTCTGCAGGGGATCAGGACTCCCTGGGGCCTCAAGGGTGGGTCCAACCCTCTCCATCTCCCCGATATACTGCTCATATGTCCAAAAGGAAGCCTGGCCCCTCTTTGGTTCCAGAAAACCACCTTCAGTGGCTGGTCTTTCCGGTTCAGTTATAGCACCTCCTGCTGGCTGAGGTAGGCAGCTTCTCCTGCCCATCTTCAGGGCACCAGGCCAGGCTGCTCCCTTCCCTCTGGGCTCCCCTTCTGGCCTGAAACCCCAGCATCCTTTGCTGGGTGGCCCTTCGGCTCTTAGTGGAAGGGGAGTTCTCTGTTCCCCTGCAGGGTGCTGGCTCCCTCCCTCAGCCTTGAAGGCCTGAGGACTGAATATGCAGCATCTGAGGCCCCAGTGCTCTAAAGGGGCTGGGAGAAGGACACGGAAGGTGCTGGAAGCTTGGCTTTGCCCTCTGAGAACCCCAACTTTTCTACAGTGTGGACACAGAATCTGAAGGTGAGGCATGGGAGGAAGAGAGTTACTCGAGGGAGAGACAGGGAGAAGAGCTACATTGGCAGCCCCACGAGGAGAAATGAGACCTTGGGACGTTTATTTACAGTGAGTGCAGAGCTCGACCCCAGGGAAGAAGCCACTAACAGATTGATTGCGTAGCTAAGTCAAGACAGAATGCAGAGAGAGGCAGTGCTAGCCAGCAGCAAAGAGGAGCACACGGGCTGACACACGTGAGCACACCTCACACACGTACTTGCACTCAACACACACAGATACACTCATACAGAGTCAAACGCATGGATTCACACTGCGCATGTGCATGCCCATTTCTCACGTACGTGAAGGTTCTAATCTCGAAAGGTGGTTCCAACTCAGGAGATCCAAGCCCCCATAGTCACCTCTCTCCTGAAGGGTTTCTCCAGACTCAGAGACCCTGTCTGTGACCTGGTGGCCTGCAGAGTCCCAGGACATGGATACTTTTGGGGCATGTTAGATGGCCTCCATGCTCTGGAGAGAGGACAGGAAGTCCCAGGACCGCCAGGGTGTCCATCGATGACCACTCCTGTCTCCCCAGGCCTTGAATTCGGTGGAGGCTGAATCATAGGCAAAGGCCTGGAGTGGCGTCAGAAAGAGCAGCCACTGAGAGGCAGGACCCTGGGGGAGGGAGAGTCCTGGTGGAGTGGGATGAGGGTGTCATGCAGGATGGGGATTCTCTAGGCCGAAGGCCAGGGCCCTGCGCCAGATGATGGAAGAGGAGCTGCTGAAGCAAAGAGGCTTTCCAGATGTGTCCTCTCCACCCCAGCCTGCCCCAGATCCAGACAGGCCTTGTCAGGACCAAGCCCATCCAGAAATGGGCTGGGGGCGAGGGGCAGGGGTACGGGCAGCCAGCCCCCTCCGCCCGAGGCGGCAGTGTGGGCCCAGGGAATGACTCAGAAGCGGGTGCTCTGATAGCGCAGCCGCCGCAGATCTGAGAGGCCCTCGCTGCTCCGGCCATACACCTCCCGGCAGGGACTCTCGGCCAGTCACCGGGCCCCTGCCCCGCCACCCCCGCCACTGCTGCTTCCTCCGCTGCCGCTGCTGCTGCCGCTGCTGGAGCTGCCACTGCTGCAGCGGTCCTCGTAGATGGAGATCTCGATCTGGGCAGCAGTTAAGGGTGTCACACAGGTCAGGGGCCGGTGGTAAGAGGCCGGACAGTGCAGCCTCCTAGGCAGTGAGGCCTCCTCCTACCAGTGCTGGAGACTTGGCTGTCCTGAGTTCCAATCCTGCCTCACTTACTCACAGGCTGTTATCTTCTGCGTGGCACTTGTTAATCCTCAACTATCACATCTGTAAAATGGGGACAATCGCAGAAACTTGGTGCTGTCAGGAGGGTTAAAAGGAATGATGTAAAGCATGAGACACAATGCTCAGCCCATAGTTAAGTTCAGTACAAAGAAACACTCCCTGCTGAAGGAGATGTGAGACTCTGGGAGTGTGTGCTTTCCACAGCGAGTGTACTTGTGAAATTGATCTCCTCATCACAGTTCTGCTCTCACTGCTGCGGAGCAATGTGGATGACGGTGTGTGCACCTCGACTGTACTATTCTGTGTAGAGTGAGAAGACCTATTACCACCACCCACCAGCACCCCACATCTCCATCCCTATCCAGTCTAGCACCAGGATGAAGACTTGGGGAGTTGTCTCATTTTCCTCATCTGCCAAAAGGGCTTCATAGGACTTCCCTCAAAAGGATAAAACGAGGATTACAGGAGATAGGAAAACATATGGCAGATTTGCATATTCCTTGAGGAGCAATAAAGCCTCATGGTTAGGACTGAGCCTGAGGCTTAACTTTGACCTTTGCCAGGCAGGGGTCCTGAGCCATTGATTTAATCCCAGAGTGTCCTCACCTACACAGGGGATAAAAAGAGAGCAGCCCCTATGAGTCCTCATGAAAATCATGTGGATTTGTATGTCCAGCACTCTCTTGCAACAATCTCTGGCATATATTAAAACTGATTAAACGCAGTTCCATAAATGTAAACCCTGAGTATCACATGGACAGCTCATGGTGGAAGGGGTGGTGACCAGTGAAGTGTGGAATCCTGGGAAAACCTGAACAGATGCCCCCAGAGCAGTGTCCATTTCCTGGTGGCCTCACATGGCCAGACAGGCCACCCCCAGAGACCCCCACTGGTTGACTGCTCTGGGCCCTTACACAGAACAGCCAAGAAGGATACGACCCTCATCCCACGCTCCACTGGGTCTGTGAGCAGGAGGCCTCGAGGAGCAAAGACCTTCTCATTCTGCTCCTGGATGTAGCGAGAGATCTTCTTGAGAACCTGCAGAGAGAACTGTCAGTAGGGGATGTGCATGCAGGCTGGAGGCCTGGGGAGGATGAGTATAGGGCAGCCCAGGGAGGGAGCCACCTTTTCATAGTGGGTCTCCATGCAGAGGAAGATGAAGTAGGCTGTGGCACAGGCCAGGCAGCCCTCGAGGTAGGAGCTGCCCCCAATCTTCTCCGCCTCTGCATAGAAGCTGTTGAGGGTCTTCACGGTCTCCTCAAAGAGCTGTCGCTCGATCTAGAGGGAGAGAGGGAACAGGGAGTCAGAAATCAGCGGCCCTGGAGTGTGGACAATTGCAGGTGTGGGGTCACAGGCACACTGGCAGGGAAGCCACAGGGGTCACACATGGGCTCACAGGCCAGACAGGACAGGCTACAGGTACAGGTGGAGCAGAAGAACTGGACTGGAGTCAGGAGGTCTGAACCATCAACTAGCTGTGTGATGTTAGACTAATAGCTTAACCATTCTAGGCCTCGATCTTCTCACCTGGAAAATGGGAATAACTCCTTGGCTTCCCTCAGAGACAGGAAGCTTAGATGATATCTTACCCAATATATTCTCCAGGGGCTCCAACAAGAACTCAACAGACTTTGCTACCCTTCTTAATGGCAGCAAAAGAGTGAGTGGGAACTCCACTTGCATGAAGCTAGAGGGACGAGATCTGGGGATGGCACGCTTCCTCCTAGCTAGAAGGGTGCTCACAACACCACAACCCTGTATATATGGACAAATGAAAAGCTGTCCTGTCTGCTATAATAATAATAATAATAGCTAAGGAGGCTTTGGTAGCAGAGTCCATAGATTTGCACTGCTGACCCAACGGCCACACCTCTCTGATGATTCAGTTCAAATCTACTAGCAGCAACATGGGAGAAAGATAGACAATCTCCTTCCATGCAGTTTACAACCTCAACCACGCAGCAGCTTAGTGAAGGCTCGGCTATGAGTTGTTCTGACTCAACAGCAATGAGAAAAAGAATATGAATTATGCTGTATGGACCAGGTTCATTTTATGCATTACACCTGTTCCTCACTTGTCAACTATTCGACATTTTGAATTTATACTACTGGTAAAAAGAACCACTGTCTAACTATTTTGTACACTAATAACATACATGTAGCAGTAACAGATACTAAGGTATAAGTGAGAGTAATGCTGGCTGTAAAGACTTAAGGCTGTACGTCACTTCTTTGGGCCATTATTCTCAGCTATTTGGTTATAGAATGGCCCATTCCTTTCTTTCTCACATCTCACCTTAAAAAGCCTCTTCCCGTCTGTTCACTTCACCCAGCTCTCCTGCCCTGGCCTCCTCTTTCTGTTCTCCAGAAGCTACTATATAGGATAGCTCTGGTGGCATGGTACATTACTTGTGCTGCTAACTGAAAGATCAACAGTTCACACCAGCCAGATGCTCCATGGGAGAAAGACAGGGCTCCTCCTGCAAAGATGTACAGCCTTGGAAACCTGATGGAGGGTCGCTGTGGATCAGAAATCAGCGATGGTGGCAGGTTTGCACTGAGGAAGTCTCCTTTCAGGGACCTCTTCAAAGTGCTAAAGAGTCATGATGTCAGTCTAGGGACTAAGGTGTGCCTGATCCAGGCCATGGTCTTCACAATTACTTGCTATGCATCAGAGAAAATAAGGAGGGCAAAAGAAAAATCAATGCCTTTGACTTGTGGTGCTGGAGGAGAGTACTGAATATACAATGACTGCCAAGAGAATAAACAGGTATGTATTACAGAGGGTGAACCCAAGTTTCTCCTTGGAGGCAAGAATTTTGAAGATCTGTCTCACATACTTTGGGCATGTGGCCAAGAGGGACCAGTCCTTGGAGAAGGACATCATGCTTGGAAGGGAGGAGAGACAGCACAGGAGAGGAAGATCCTGGATGAGATAGATTGACATAGTAACGAGGGTAATGGGGGATAGATGTATTGGAATCAGTGAGATTGGCTCAGGACAGGGCAGGGTTCAGAGCTATTGTGAATCGCAGGTGACTCAAGGGCACATAAAAACAATGATTATCTAGTCTATGGACTTGCTTGTGTCTTTTCTGTGCCATAATAGCAAATAAAGGGAGCTCCGGTGGCATAGTGTGTAGAGGCTTGTGTTACTAATACAAAGATGGAGAGTCCAAAATCACCAGCTTTCAACTAAAAAAAAGGAGCAACCCAATCTCCTCCCAAGAGATTTACAGCCTCTGAAAACCCACTGGAGGGTCAGCTCAGTCAGTTCTGACTCAATACCAGTGAGCCTGAGAAGAGGAAATAAATTCTAAGAGGGCTTTAGACCTTCGGGGTCCAATATATAGTAGGTGCTCGATAAATGCTTGCTAGATACTGAGTAAGTTTTGCCCTGTGTTACACAACTCTGACTCCAGAGTTGATGCTCTCCACCATGCAGGTCTGTATCAGATGACCTGGAAGGTCATCTAGCAGATATTAAAGGGCCCATGGCCAGATCCATGTTCTCCCAAACACCACTAGTCATATTTCCATAGGACCAGAACTTGTCCATGAGGCAGGTTAGGGACCTCCCATGTCTGTCTAGCGTGAAAGTTTTTACTGGGAACAGTCAGAAATGTTGGCACTCCCAGCTTTGCTCCTACACAGATCTGGAGGGAACACAGAAATTGTGCCCATTTGACCCATAGCTCAAGCCCATTACCCTACCCTAAGAATCAACTCATCTCATAGGACACATATGCTAGGATGAAGAGACCACACTGCTCCCCAAAACTGGTTGGGCATCAGATCAGCCAAGATCTCAGACCCATTCAAGTCTGCCTCCCTGGGCTGCTGCATGGAAGAAAGATGGGAGTACCCTTCCCCCAGCCCCAGCCCAATTCTAGGGCAACCCCGAATGAGGGCTTTCATACACCCTAGAACAAGGGCAAAGCATAGCAGGAGGAGTTGATGCCCTGTAATAGGTCTCTGGACCAAGAAGTGCCCAAGCAGTTGTGGCCAGAACTTAGCCTTTGATACAAGCTTTCATTGTCTGCATTTAATGCCACTGTCAGACTCTGAGATGAAGCATCAGGGTCATCGCCCTCTTTCCAAAGCAAAGAGGAGGAGGGAAGAAGAGCCACCAGCCCCTTCCTCTAAGTCCCTAAGCTTTCCCTGCTGAGATGCTGACCCCACAGGCCCCCATTTTTACTCCTCCTCACTACCAATGCAATTGCATCAGTGAAAGAAATGCAAGCCCGTGCTAACCCAAGACCAGGAAACTCAGGGTCTCTGGCACTGCTGCTAGCTTGCTTTCCATCATGAGTAGCCCCTAAGTTCCCTCTGTTAAATCACTAGGGACAAACCAGTGCAGTGTTTCTCAATTTAACATGCACACAAATAACCTAGAGATCTTGTTAAAATGCAGATTCTGACTCAGGAGAGCCAGGGAGAATCCTGAGAGCCTGCAATTCTAACAAACTCGCAGACGATGATGATGATACCAGTGCCCAGACTGCAGCTTTAGTAACCAAGAGTTTAACAGTTTGTAACTCCGGCTGCACACTGTTGTTGTTGTTGTTGTTATGTGCCTTCGAGTCACTTGCGACTCATAGCGACCCTATGTACAACAGCCCTAAACTCTGCTCTGTCCTGTTCCAATCACACTGTCTCTGACACTCCCATCCCAGTAACCCCAGTCACCAAATCAATCCACCTCACAGAGGGCCTTCCCCTCCTGCGCCATCCCTCCACACTCCCCAGCATGATGTCTTTCTCCAAGGACCGGTCTCTTCTTACAACATGTCCAAAGTATGTTAGACGGAGTCTCAGAATCTTTGCCTCCAAACAGCCACCCGGTTTAACCCTTTCCAGAATGAATCTGTTTGTTTTCCTAGCAGTCCATGGTACTCTCAATACTCTTCTCCAGCATCACAGCTCAAAGGCATCAATTCTTCTGTCCTCCTTGGTCATTGTCCAACTCTCTGATGCATAACAAGTGATTGCGAAGGCCATGGCCTGTATCAGACGCACCTTAGTCTCCAGAGAGACACCATTGCTCTTGAGTACTTTGGAGAGGTCCCTAACAGCAGACTTTCCCATGGCAATGCGCCTTTTAATTTCCTGGCTACTGGTGCCAAGAGTGTTGACTGTGGAGCCGAGCAAACTAAAGCTGTGAACAATCTCAATCTCTTCACCAGCCATCCTGATGCTTTCAATTGACCCAGTGGTGAGAACCTTTATCTTCTTGATATTGAGCCTCAATCCATATTGGAGGCTGCAGTCCTTGACCCTCTGCAGCTCTAAGTCACCTTTAACACCTGCAATGCCCACATCACAACACCACCCACCCCCGTAAGGGATTCTGTTCAAATTGGGTAGAGGACTGGTGTTGGGGAGTCAAAGACTATGTCTGTCTTGTTCTACCCAAAATGACTCCCTGCCAAGAACTTTCAAAACTTCCCAGATGATTCTGATGTGCAGCCAAGCCCGTCAAGAACACAGCGCTAGAAGACCCGTGATTTTCACAGGATGCTCTCTGGATCACCTGACTCCCAATCACCTGGAGATTCCGCATCGAAAGGCAAGGCCTTCTGTGCTGGCTGCACATTTGGAATCATCTGGGGAGATTTCAAATACTGATACCTGAGCCCTAGGCCCAGAGACGCTGATCTAACTGGTCTGAGACGCAGTCAGGACACTGGGATTTTTTTGTAAGCTTCCCAGATAATTCTAATATGCATCCCAGGTGGAGAACTGCTGCTTGAAAATGAACATTCCCAGCACTCAGCGCACCAACTGAGTCAGTGTGGAATAGGGCTCAGGAATCGATATTTTAAATAAGACTCTCAGGGCAATTCTGATGCCACTGAAAACTGAGAGCTGCTGGCTAGAGGGAGCTCTGGTGATTCTGTGGTTAAAGCATTCTGGTGCTAACCAAATAGTCACTGGTTCATTCCCATCAGCCACTGCGTGGGGGAAAGACGAGCAGAGTCTGCTTCTATAAAGACACGTGATTATTGTTAGGTGCCATTGAGTCAACTAACTCATGTCAACGTTCACGGACCGAAATCTTACCAGATCCTGAGCCAACATCAGAATTCTCAGCTGTGCTTAAGGCTAATGTTAGAGTCAGCGTTTCCATCCATATCTCTGAGAGTCTTCCTCGCTCACTGACCCTCTACATTTCTAAGCATGATGTCCTTTTCCAAGGACGGGACCCTTGTGACAATATACCCAAAAATGTGACGCCAAGTCCTTGGGCATCCTGTGGGGTAGTTCTACTCTGTCCTACAGAGGGCAGGTAAGTCAGACAGACCCCCCTTGAAGGCAGTGGCATTGGGTTAGCACTAGAAGATCTCTAAGGTTGCTTCGACCCTTAACTTTCTATGAAGAGATGCTCAGACAGTGTTAAGGATATTTGTTTTTATTCTTTCATATGAAGTGGTTCAACATGTTCTATGTTTCATGATAATGCATTTGTCCTGAGGGGATATACCATCACATAATCCCATCCCACTTCTATCCCAGTGTGTGTTCCAAGTGTAGGAAGAGACTTCTTACCCGGCTGTCCAGTTCTGGGGGGAATTTGGTCTGGAACTGACAGATGGTGCCTTCACTATAGTCTCTTTGGATAAAGACTTTGGTGGCCAAGGAGGCACTTCGCCGGAGCTCCTGCAGATTGTGAACCTGAGAAGACAGAAAGGAGGCACAGGCTAAGGTTCTGCTCTCTGGTTTTGCATGGGACAGTTGATGTTAAAAAGGGGGAAGGGTCAGGCAAACTGGACAGGAGTTAGCTGCTCTGCATGTGCTCCAGGAAGAACCAGGGGAAACAGGGCTGTAGGGATGAGAAGAGGCCTTGAGCTATCCCAGAGAATTCTAGCAAAAGCCTGAAGCAAGGCCAAAGCTGAAGCAAGCTGAGAGGTCCTGGAACCTCAGGAATAAGAGAAAAAAGACCTTTTGGTGACCAGTTCAGACACTTCCCTTCCTCCCCTTCTCTGATCCTTTATTCACTGAGCAATCATCAAGTATTTCCAATTTGTCAGGCCCTACCTTTGACGAGCAAGACTTCAGAGGTTGCTGATTAAAACTTACAGTGAGGTTGGGAGAAGGGGAGAAAGTGTAACAGCAGAGTTAGTGGTTGATGTAGCCATGAACTTGGAGGATAATTCAGGTTCAAGCCAAGTTTTGGCTCTGACCAGGGAGAACTATATATTATTTCCATGTCCAGTACAAGGAAAGGACGGGCCCATGAGTGTCCAAAATTACCCAAAAATGATTGAGTGGATTGAGGACAGAACTTGAAGGACTATCTTTCTCTGAACGGAAAAAGTGGGGCAATTTCTATCCCTTTGCCCACCTGTGGATTTGACATTACCATAGACTCTAGCATTTGTGGGAAGTGGGTTCAATTTCTCTGGAGAATGGGCCCCCTTTTTCCAGCATTCCAACCACTGGAACTAGGATGGGAACTGAGCCTCAAAGGCAGAGTGAAAAAACTCTGCTAGATCATCCTGTGTAATTAAGATTAATCTGTTCCATCGCCCAGCTGTCATTTATTGAGTCCCTACTATTGCCAGGCTCTGGGGACACAGAGCAGAAGACAGTCTGTGAGCTCCAGGGAGAAAGACAAGTAAATATATAATTAATTAGACTGTGATAAATGCTACGAAGAAGTAGCATCTTGCCTAGAAAACACTCAGAAAATGCTTGTTGAATCCCATGTTAAGTCAGAAAGGCAGGCCAGGAGTTACCAGTGGCCAACAGGAAAACACTGGGTAAATATAGGGAAGAAAAGGCAACTCAGACAAAAAGGGAAAAAAAATATGATAGCAGAGAACTTTCTTCAAGGCTGGGGGGCAGATTACAACAAGACTGGAGATGGTTTAGAGATTAGCAAGAGAGGTGGGAGGCGAGAGTGTAGAGGAAGCCAAAAGGTAGATCACAAGTAGCTGGAAGCGGGTTTCTGTTGGGGATTAAAGATGGAAGATACTTGAACTTGCTTAAGAAGAAATAGAAGAAAAGCTGTCAATAGGTTAGAAAGAGCAGAGAATTAGTGGATCAAGGTGGTGAAAGACCAGGAAATAGAAAAGTACAATTTGAGACTTTGCTACTCTGAGTGAGCCTTGTTTTATATAAGAAATGCGATCCCAAAGTATCATGATTGGATTAAATAATCTATAAATGCTCTTCTAGTCTTAATATTCCTTGATTCCTCTAATCAGAGTCTTAACTGAAGTCCCTTTGACATATACGAGGATCCTATTATAGCTGAAATGTGGAGGGTCAACGAAAGAGAAGACCACTCTCGATGAGATGAACTGACAGTGACTGCAGCAGTGGGCTCAAGTGTGTCAGAGATGCTGACAGCACAGGAGAGAGCAGGGTTTACATCTGTTGTTCATCAGGGTGCTAAGAGTTGTACTCGATTGGATAACACCTAACAATAACAATAATAACAACGACATTGTAGCTGAAAAGAATCCTTTGGGAATAGAAGTCATTTTTAACATATATGCTATCTGGTGGTTGTTGTGGCTGAACTGGTTAAGGGTTCATAATCATATGTTTTCTAAAGAAAGGAATGAGCTAGAGCCTTCATCCACCTTTCAATTCGTATCAATTTTAAGTCAATTGATCTTGAGGATGCACTCCCTTGGTTTGCCTTAGGAAACTCATTTCTGCAGCCTTGGGAGAGATTGATGGCGAGTGGTGGAGGTTAGGTTGGGAGTACAATTGAAGAAATGCTTATCTTTGTTGTTGTCAGTTGCTATCATGTTAATTCTGATTCAATAAGTACATCTAAGCCAAGAGAGAGACAGAAAGGGCAGTGCTCCAACCCTTCTGACAAGGACTCAACTTCCCTCCAACCGTATCCTTCGTCCCTGCTTAAACACACCATACACACACACAATGTCTCTCTAGAGACTTCCTAGATGTCTACAACTATTACTTCTTCCCCAAGCATACAACTAGATTAATAACGAGATTCATGCCCAACATCTCTTGCAGTTAGGTGTAGTCATGGGAATGAGTAGAAGAGGTTCATGCCATGTAAAGGCTGAACCCATAAAACCTACCACTTTTCTATGTTCTTTCCCCCTTGGTGGAACCATACACTGCAAAGAGCCCGGGTCCCTGAATCCCTGCCTGGAGGAGAACCGTCCCTGATCAGGAATATCCACCTGAGCCTCTGCTCAGCAGAAAATGAATCTCCATTGTATTAAACCACTGAGATTTAAACCCTGACGACAAAGTGGTTGAGTACTCAGCTGTTAACCGAAAGTCAGCAGTTTGAAGCCACCAGCCAGTCCATAACAGAAAAGATGTGAGCACCTGCTTCCCAAAGATTCCCAGCCTTGGAAAGCCTGGACGGTGGTTCTACTCTATCCTACAGGGAATGTGTCAGAATCTATTCAAAAGCAGAGTTAGCCGAAATTATACAGTCCCTTTCCCTCTTGGCTTTGTTTGACCCATGGCTTCTCAAGTAGCCAGAATGGGAGATGTCAACACCCTTTCTAGTCCCAACCATATCCTGAGCCTTTGAACACTGTCTTGGGTGTGGGTGACTAGGGATCACCTTCGCTCCCTGGAAAGTGTTGGTGGCATCTTGGGGAGTTTCCAAGAGGTGATCAGGTGCATTTTATAGTCAGGAGCTTTCATCCCCCCCCCCCCAATTCTACATAGAACACACATCTCACTAACCCGAGTACAGTTACTGAAGAGCAGCATTTAAGACAAGGCTGGCTCTTCTGACCCTCTTATCTATAGCACAACTGTGAGGTGCCCATGGTGACGGCTGAGAACAGGAGATCTAGGGGCTAGTTCGGGGAGATTCTTTCCCTTTTTGGCCTCCATTTCCTCAATTAGAAGACAGAAAGTTGGGACGAGGTAATCTCTGAAACTTCTCCCAGCTCTGGCATTCCAGAGGCCTTCTTAGGGCTTAGGAGTGTAACTGTTTACAGGGCTATGCACTGAAATGGGCCCGGTGGAGACAGCAGCTAATTAGAAAGCTCATGCCCTCTCCTGCAAAGGCAGTTGATCAGTGAATGCCATGTGAGAATGTGAACCTAGGTTGTTAGCACTTCTGGTTTTTTCAGGGGAAGCTATAAATATAGTTTCTCAATGTGAGATGTCCTGATTTAGAAATGTCTAAAATGTGTGAGTGCTAAGAACACCCAAGAAAGGCACATGTGCAGACAAGAGATTCAGTCCTGAAGCTGCCCATTCGTTGCTGTGTGCTGTCAACTCAAAACCAACTCATAGCTGACTCTCTAGTGGGTTTTCAGAGGCTGTAAACTGCACAGGAGGAGGTTGCCCATCTTTCTCCCTTGGAGTAGCTAGTGGTCTTGAACCGTGCACCTCTGGGCTGACAGAGCAGCTCCTTACCACTAGACCATCCTTACCACTAGAGTTCCCTAGAGCTGCCAGTTTAGGATCTCTGAATAAGGAAAGCCGTGGCAGGAGCTCTTGGCCAGAGCTTGAGCTAGGCTTCAGGCTCCCTGCTAGCTATTTCGCTTCCAGGAAGCTAGTGTAGTCTTTATCAGAGACTCATGATGCTCTCAAGTCTTAAAAGAAGATCCTCTCTCAGAGCCTTCCACCCCAAGCCCCTCCCCAGGCCTTTCTTTTTTCTTTTCTTTTTTTTGGCCTTTCTTAATTGATCTAAAGATCTGCTTCTCATTTACTTCTCACCTTCCTCAATCCTCTCCATCACCATCTGCTGACCTCTTAACTGCTGGGTAAGTTAGGACCAAGAGACATTTCACGAGAAAGAAAGAGAAAATCAGTGGCAAAATTGTTGGCATCAATTTTCAGACTGCAGTGGGGCAGGGAGGGGAAGGCTGCCCCGATGAAGAGTAAGACCTGCCAGACATTTAGTCTCATACCCACCACAGTCAACCTGGCTGGCTGAGAGGAACAAGCACTGGAGGACGCAAGAGCATTCCTAGGCTATTACACCAAGATAAACAGGAAGTTGCAATTGAACACACATTACATCCTCCTTGAAAACAATCTCATTCCATGGGGAGGGGGCAATTCTACTCTGTCCCAGTGTTGTTATGAGTAAGAATTGACTTGATAGCAGTGGTTTGGGTTTGACTTGAAATAATTTTTTAGGATGCATTTGAGTCTTCAGCTGGAGAATCGGATTAAGTTGAAGAACCCTCTGGGTCCCACTAGTTATGGTGAAGATGAACAGGAAGCTTACAGGTAACCAGGACAGATCTCAGGATGGACAATGACCAGGCACAGACTTCCCTTCTCAACCTGAACCAGGAGCCAAGCCCAGCCCATTCTCTGCTGGCAGTTCATTCTATGCCTGAGATCAGTGTCCTGATGGGATAATGCAGTTTGGATGCCTTTAGGAATCTCTTAAGGGCCAGAACTCTACCATTCAGAGAGCCCCTCCCAACTGACCATTGTGATCTGGACTGATTCCTGGGTCAGTCCCTGCTCCCAGTGACACACATTCAGGAAATGGGCTCGCTGCAGCCTTCCAAATGAGGTCAGTGCCTTGTCCCTCCTCCGAGTTCCTCAAACACACTTTCCCCTAATGCTAACTTCTAAATAGAAGTTAGGGAAAAGAAAGGATCTGGTATCCATGACTTCCATCCAAGACTTTTTCTCATTCACTGTGCCCCTTTACACACACACACACACGCACACACATACTCTACTATAGCTGAGGATTTTTTTTCTTAATTCAGAATTCCAAAGGAACAGCCATAGGAGTTTGAAGTGTGATTTTTCTCCTGGTAATTTTTACCAAGTTGTTGTTATGTGCCATCTAGTCAAAACCTACCCTCCAGTGGGTTTTCAGAGGCTGTATTATCACATGTGAGGAGGTTACCAATCTTTGTCCCTGCTTAGCAGCTGGTGGATTTGAACCACATGCTTTTGGGTTGGCAGTGCAGCTCTTTACCACTAGGCCAACAGGTTTCTCCTGGTAATTTTTATCAAATACGAGTAGGGAGCTCTGGTGGTGGTGTGTAATTTACTGCTTCTAAAAACCCACTGGAGGGTCAGCTATGGGTTTGTTCTCACAACACACAACAACAACAAATATTAAAAAGAGCATAGGGGAAATCAATGACTCATCCTACAGCCCATATAATACACGAATCCTGTGCTTTGACTGGAAAAAGGCTTCCTCCACTGGTACGACCATCAGCACTGGCTGAAGGACAAATTCCAGAATGGGCTATGATTGTCCTCAGCTCCTATCTTCCTTGGCTTCTTCGTTGGCCTTTTGGTTATGCCTCTGAGTGATTCTCCCCTCAAGTTTACTAAATCAGAGCAGTTAAGGGTCCCTGGGTCACCCTGCTCCAGCTTTCCTGGCCTCCTTTATGACTCTTATTCCATTAAAATCCCTACATGAAGAACCCTAGCACTCATCTTTCTATTAGGCAACACAACTGGCTAATTGGATTAAAACGCAAACAAACAAACAAAAAAAACAACTGTAAGTAGTTTGTGGGGGTTTGTTGGTTTGGTTTTTTTTAAAAAAAAAAGCACTAGCCAGAGAAGCAGAAGACTCAAGTTCTAATCCTAAACTTGCCACTTTACAGTCACATTTTCTTGACTAAGTCACTGGGCTCCAGTTGCATCACCTGTAAAATAAGATAATGATGCCTTCCTTGGCTCTTTCACAGGACTCAGGTAAGCTACTGAGTCTCAGTTGTCTCCCCTTTTAATTGGGTTTAATAATACCATCCTTGCCCACTTCATAGGGTTGCCTTAAGCCTCAAAGGAGAGCACACACGTGACATTGCTTTTTACACTGGAAAGTGCTGTAACCACAGAGGCATTATGAGCAGAGCCTCTCCCAGAGGAGAGCCATGCACACCTAACAGCAGCTTCCTAGAAGCAGTGCCTCAACCTAGAGATGTGAGCACAGTGGTTGGAATCTGTGGACCATCATTGCCCCATGAGGGAGAGATGCTGGGACAGATGGGCCTCTTGCACTCTGTCAGATCACATCACATCACGAGAGATGGCCTCCCTGCTCACACTGCTGGCCCATGGCTGAAGCGTCTCCTTTATATGAGCAGCTTCTGCTGCAGTCTGGCAGCTTTATCTGGAAGGTGACCAGCTCCTTGGCTATTTCTCTCTTTGTTCTTCTGGCTCGTTTCAGTGTCTTTGGCAGTTTCTGGGAACTCACCATTCCTGCACTCTCTAATCCAAGGTCCCTGGGTCTCTGTCTGCTCAGAGTTTGCGTTCTCAAAGGGATGGATGCTCATCCTAGCTAACCCATGCCTTCTCAGGAAGCTGAGTGAAGCCAAGCAATGACACCTTGTTCTGTAGTGACTACGACTGCAGAATAATAACAATAACACTTGGTATTGATGTCACGCTGCTCACCAGGATGCCCAGAGGCACTGCACAGAATCGTTCAAAAGCCTCTGCTCTCCTCCTGGTCTTATGTTTCAATCGAGCTGGAAATAGAGGAAAGCCACAAAGGAGATCCACGTCAGAACTGGGAAGACCCTGGTACCCTGCATTTCACTCTAGAAATGAAAAGAAACTTTCTGCTTTGCTGCCAACACGCTGTGTGAGCATCAGAAAGGTCCTCCCCTTCTTTATAGGTTAGTTTTACCACTTAGAAAGTGGGCACAATGCCGATTGCCCACCTCCCTCATAAAATGAGGTGGTGGTGGTGATGAGACGCCCCTAGGAGTAGAGTGAGTAATTCTGCCCAGGTTCCTTGGTTCAATCATCAAGTCCTTTGAAGGTGACACGCCCATAGGCACCACCCGGAGACAGCAGCACCTCCCATCATACACAGGGGAAATATGTACATCCCAAGACAGGAGATTCAAATGGTGTGACAAAGAAGGATGTGCCAAAGTCGGGGTCACTGCAAGCAACCCATTAAAACTAACCATTTTGTTCTTGGCCTGAGATTACCTTTCTCCCCCTCCCACTCCAGAAGGAAATGCAGATATCCATCTTTCATCACTTTGCAAAGGTTTTGGATTCAGGAGCTGGATGACAGCACTGCATAGCAACAGTGGCTGGCCGGCCTTCCCTTGTACACACTTACACACGCGTATATCCCCAGCTCTCTAGGGAAAGGCTCAGGACTTACAGTGCAGGGCAAGTCAAGAGGAAATCCCAACCTGGGGCCCTGGAGAAATCTCAGCCGCAGAGCCAACAAGTGGCGCGGGCAGCTTTGGGGTTCAGGTGGGACATGGGAAGGACTGTCAGGCCAGGGATCAGATCTGAGCCCTCAGGAAGAGCCCCTGCCTCTCCCCCGCACCCCCCACCCCTCTTCCTCCGGATCCCACCCAGGGAACCACCCCATCCCACCCCCGCCTTCCTCTCCCGCCCCGTCTGCCCCTAGCGGGGATTTGTTCCTGCAGTCAGCACTGCCTGCGGGCTACTTGCTCAGCCCCCTACCTCGGTGGCCATGTTCCAGCTTGCAGCCCGCAGCCAGGAGGGCGAGGGAGGGGACTGTCCACGGTGCTGACGCGGGGAGTGGTGGGCCAGGGGCCGCGGCCAGGTGGGGCCCGGGGCGCTGTCCGCGGTGCTGATACAGACGCCGCAGGCCGGGGCTCAGACGCACTGGTGGGCGGTCAGGCAGCGAGGTCCCGCCGAGGCGCGCTGTGCTGTCCGCGGTACTGACCGGCGAGCCAGGCCGGGGAGGCGAGGCCGCGCCTGGGGCTCTTCGCGGCCGGATCGCCCACTGCTGCTGCTCCTGCAGGCAACCGCTCGGTTTATCTCTGACAGCCGCGGCAAGAGTGGGGGCGGCGGGGGGAGGAGGGGCCAGGCGCCTCCGCGGGCGGAGAGGGGGAAGCGGGTCCCCCAGACTCCCGCGCCCCGCCGGAGGAGCCCCGCCCGCGGCCGGAGGCCCAGCTCCCGCCCAGCCCGAGGCCCCGCCTCTCCCACCTGCCCTTCCCCCTACCCGGAGCACACGCGCTCTGCGCTCTACCGCGGCCTCCCGGGACTTGGCGCCCAGGAAAATAGGGAGGCTGCGTGCTTCAGAGACAAGAAAGTCAAACCTGCGGGGCGGACAGGTCCCAGACGGCCTCGCAGGCCCCCAGGTGCGTCCTCTTTACCCTCTTGCCCACCCCCCAACCCTACCCGGAATTTCCCCCTGTATTTTTTTCCTCTTCCAGTTTCTTCTGTGTGCAACTCACACACACACAAATATATACACACACAGAGCTTGCATAGACGTTCTCGCCTCTCCCCTTCCCTCTTCTCTGCCTTGAACCCCATGCTCTAGAGGAGGATGTTGCAGAACTCAGAAAAAATGTATCTGCATTTCAGCCTCAGCAATACTTGGGGATCCCTTCTCAGAGCCCTCCAGAATTGAAATCATTCTCTCCTTGCTGTGCCTTCTGGCCTTGCCCTCTGCCTCCGCCCTCCCCCCCCTCCCATTCTTCTTGCTCTGAAATCCAAGAGTTTACACACACTTACACACCCGAGTGACCACAACTCAAAACCACAAGCAGGTGGTGCCAAACCAATCCACTCACTTCCGGAGGATGGAAGTCTGGCCCTGTTCACAAGTCTGGCGGTGGGAGAGGACGCTGCTTCCTTCATAGTTTTGGCATTACATCTTCCATCTAGATCATCTATTTGCTTAAGTACGTATCTCTCTGCCAACCCACACTAACTTTCTCCAGATTCAAAACCTCTTTTCAAATTTACCATCTCTAACAGGGACAAGGTACCCAATAAGCAAGGCAAATAGGGCAAACCTGTGCGTATTAATCTGTAGTGAAACTCATTTGTCAGCTCTGAATAGTTTCACATGTGGTGGGGAAACGTGTGAAATTTTTTGTTCAGGCTAGTGGGTAAGGTCAAGGAAGTCCATTCTCACCTTGCTTATTGGACAATCCACTCTTGCTTTTGCACGTTCATAATACTCTTTGTTCGATCTCTTTGAGGAGATCCCTGTGTGCACATGCAGACCCTGCTGCTGGAGAGTGACCAGCACAACCCACACAGAGGGTGATACAGAGAGCCAGGAGTGTGGGTTCTCACTTGGCCTTCCCCAGCCATATGACTCCGGGCCCATAACTCACCTCTGGCTCCGCAGTTCTTGATTCTAAAAGATGAGTGTAGACTTCATGAGACTACTTCTACAGTCCTTCCCTTTTTTTCCTTCAATTTTTAAAAAATTTCTATAGAATAATTAGAAATATGGTGCAATAAGCTCTCTTTATACTATCTACTGAGCTTCAGCAATTCTTATCATTTCACCATACTTGCTTTATTAATTGTTGTTGTTGTTATGTGCCGTTGAGTCGTTTGCAACTCATAGCGAACAGCCCTAAACCCTGCTCTATCCTGTGCCAATCTCACTGCCTCTGACACACCCATCCCGATTACCCCAGTCACTGAATCAATCCATCTCATAGAAGGTCTTCCCCTCCTGCGCCATCCCTCCACCCTCCCAAGCATGATGTCCCTCTCCAAGGACCCATCCCTCCTGGCAACATGCCCAAAGTATGTCAGACGAAGCCCCAGAATCCTTGCCTCCAAGGAGTTGCTTGGTTTAGTCCTCTCCAAGATGAATCTGTTTGTTTTCTTGGCAGTCCATGGTACACTTAATACTCTTCTCCAGCACCACAGCTTTATTAATAGATGGAAAAATTTAGTAACATTTTAAAATAAATGTTCATTCAATCTTCTAATGGTCTGGAATTGCTTATTCCCACAAAACCGTTCAACAGCTATGACCCTTTAAAATTTCCCCATGACTTTTCATTTTTAATATCTAACATTTGTTGAGCACTCTCTATGTGCCAGACCTGTGCTACACAGTTTGTTTTGTTGTGGTTGTTAAGTGCTGTCAGGTCAAGTGTACTCTTAGAATTGTTTTTTTAATTGAATACCATTATTATCCTTTATATTCCCATTCTGTATACACATAGGGTAATATTAAATTGGCCTAGGTCACATTGGCTTGTGAAAAGTAGAAGCAGGACTCAAACCCCAGGAAGTCAGATTCTAGAGTCTGGAGTTGATCCTTTTAATGATACAGACTCATTCCAGCATTTACAGACCATCTGTTGGCAGTGAAGTGACCACCTCTCTAACTACTTATATCATGGAGACCTAAAGAGGTTATATGACATGAAGGACAAGTCAAAGGCTGATTATTTCATTCCCCTTTCCAGTTTAAGAAATGATTTGGTATTAATACACTGAAAAATATCTGTGGTCCCCAGGATGATCACTGGTAATAAATAAATGTACAGCATGAAGATCCTCACACATACCTTGCACAGTCCTTCCAACCTGATTATGAACATATTCATTAGACAATCATCTGCAAACCATTTCTTCACCTGATGACTAGAGATTTGGGTGAGTCTATCTGATAAATTCATTTCACTATCATATTTGTTAAATACCCACTATGTTTCAGCCACTATTCTTGGAGCTTGGGATGCAGCATGGAGCAAATATCCAAAACCCTGTTCTTTTTCTTAATTTTTTTTATTATTATTAATCTTAATTAAAATTTACAGTGACTTTGGATTTCCATTCATTCATTGTTGCACTTTTCTCCCTGCCCCCACCTCCCCAGTACACTCTTCTCTTTGAAAAGTAAAAGAAAAATTCTTTCATTGTTTTACAATCCCTCCCCCCAGGTCCACTCCACTATGCAGCCTTCGTTCTGGACTCCTGTCATAAGAATAATACCTACTCACATATCCCTTTAAAACAGTTTTCTCCCTCATCTGTTTCAATGCAGTATACATTATTTATCCCATCTTTCTCAGTCTCCCCCCAACCCCGATGTCAGTTCTGTTTTACAACAGAGGCATATGCAGCATTTGTCCCTATGTGACTGGGATATTTCACTCAGCATAATGTCCTCCAGGGTCACCCATTTTTAATAATATTGCATGAGTTCCTTATTTTTCAATGCAGTGTAGTATTCCATTGTGTGAATACACCACAGCTTCTCTATCCATTTGTTTGTTGATGGGCACTTGGTTTTTTCCAACTCCTTGCTATTGTGAACAAAGCCACAAAAAACATGGGTGTGTATATATCTGCTTGGGTGGCAGTTATGGTCTCTTTGGGGTATATTGCCAGTAGTGGAATTGCTGGGTCAAATGGTATCTCTATTTGCAACTTTTTGAGAAAGCGCCACACCGCCTTCCACAGTGGTTCCACCCAAAACCCTGTTCTTATGGAACTTACATACTAATATCAAATAAATAATGTATGAAAACATGTATACTTGCAGTCATTGCTAAGAAAAAAGGAAAGCATGGTAAGGAGATAGAGTGTAGTGGGGAGGAGCTATCTTAGAAGGAATATTCAGGAAAAGCTTTCTTTGATAAAGTACAATTTGGGCAGAAGCTCAAAGGTACCTGGGTAAGAGTATTGAGGCAAAAAGGAGAGTACAAGGGCCCCAAGGCAGCAGTGAACCTGGTATAATAAAAAAACAGTAGGGAAATCAGTGTTACTAGATTGGAATAGGCAAAAGAAAGGAAGATGAAGCGAAGACCAGCCAGGTCGCAGGAGCCAAGTGTGACAGAAGGGCCTTAAGGTTCTTTTCAGGATTGAATGGCAAAACTCAGAAGGTTTAGAGATTGTTCTAACTGCTCAGGGTCAGGAGGAGACCCATTGAAGGCTGCTAGAATAAGCCAGGGAGCTCTGTAAGCCTAGCAGTAAGGAGTTGCACTGCAAACCCAAAGGGAGGTGGTTTGAGAGAGGGATGGGTAATCCTCTATGACTTACAGCCTCTGGAAGGTCAGCTATAAATCAGTCAGTCAGAATAGTTCAAACAAGAGACAGTCTTGTCTTAGACTACAGCAAGACTAATTAAGGTGGTAGGAAGTGGATAGATGTTGGTATAAATTAAAGGTGTTGGCAGGACCTACTGATGGATTGGATGTGTAATATGAAGAAGAGTCAAGTGAATCTAAGTTTTTGAGCCACTTGATGAATGTAATTGCCATCTACTGATGGGATGATTGGGACTGAGCAGCCTTGGGGGCATTGCTTTGATCGTGTTTAGCTGATTTTGGTTGAAGTTTAATGAGCATGTTATACATTTAAGTGGAAGAGGCAACTGGGGTTCACAGAAGACATCGAGATGGGAGGTACAATTTCAGGAACCATCATACGAATGGCATTTAAGACCACATGACTGGATGACATCATCTATGGAGGAGGTGTCACTGGAAAAGACATGCATTGCCTGAGCTTGTGCACTTCCTTACTTACGGGTTAAGAACTAAAGAGCTTGAGAAGAGTGGCCAATAAAATAGGAGGCGAGCCAAGGGACAATGGTGTCCTGGAGAGGAGCAAGGAAAACTTTTCAAAGAAGAAAATATAACCAGATATGTTGAGTGTTGCTTATTGTAAGACAAAATGAGGGCTGAGAAATGACCAGCACATTTGGCAGCAGGAAGGTCACTCATAGATTTAGTAAGAGCTGGTTTTAGTGAAGCACGGAGATGAGATCCTGATTAAAGCACATTTGAAAGTCAGAATGGAAACAGAAGCCGTGGAGGTCCTCAGAGTGTAGACAACTCTCTTGAAGTAGCTTGCTACAAAGGGAAGCAAAGAGTGGGGTGGTGGTAAGAGGGGGGAAATGGGAGAAATGGGGGCTCCTTTTAAGGTGGAGAAATACAGAGCTGTTCGTGAACTGATAAGCATGCCCCAGTCGCTCAGGAAAGGGAGGAATTAATTGCAGAAGCAAGTTGGGCAGGGGATGAGATCTAGAGGAAATATGAAGGGGATGGACCTGGAGAGGAGCAGACAGCTCTTACTATAACAGAGAAGCTACAGATGTGAGTGGTTAGGAGACTTTTAGTGGAAGCAAAGACCTGCTCTCTAGTCTTTAGGCTTCAACTGGGCAGGTATCATTCATGCACCACGATCAGTATGTATAGCACACAACAAGCACCTACCATCAGTATGGATAGAATGTGTTAGATCCCAAACCCAGTTCTGGCACTTTCCAGGGTCAGCTAGAGTCTTCCTTCTCATTGACTTTACAGGACTAGCACGCTACAGCGGGCTT